ACAGATGGAAGATTATCAAAGAGAGATCCAACCTAAAATTAAGAAGAAATTTCCTGACAGAGAGAACAATTAATCAGTGGAATGGCCAGAAGTTTTTGTCCAGAATGGTTTAGAGTCTTCTACTCAAACAGAGGGTTGCACTAGAAGACCTCCAAAGTCCCTTCCAACTCTGTTATTCTGTATTCTGCCTCCTATTGGCACCTATCAGCAATTTTTAGGTACTTTGCTAAATCAGTGGTACATATCTCATTCTTCTGCTACACTTTGTTCTATTAAATCTGGATTCAGTGCTTCCTTCCACACAATACAGGAGAAGGGAGGGTTGTATCCTAATTCAATAGAAGTTTGGATAGAACAAATGTTGGGTATCTGGGGATGGTGGTTTATAAAGTATTATCAGTTTGTTAAACTCAGTCTGTGAGTTTGATTTAACTTCTAAGTAATTTATATGAATCACAACTTTTGATAAAACCTTTACTAAGCTTAATAAATTCCAGAAGTTTTAGTGCTAAGTAAAATTAGGACAGCCACCCCTCCCCAATGAATTAATGTTGGAATTAAGAACCAGAGGGACAAGGGAGAGAGAAGGGAATGAAATCTATAGTGTGGCAAAATAGATTAATTCACCAGAATAGTGCTTTGAACAACAAGCATTTCTATATTCTTTGTTTCCATTGTGTGTGTGTGTGTATGTGTGCAATGAATAGAGTATGCACTTTCATATTCTGACTGGCATTAGAAACAAGTTGTGTTCTGGAATATGGGTCAAGTATTGGTGTGCCCATACCTATACATTTACTTTGACAATTGTTGAAAATACTGAACTTCGTTCTGAACATTTTAAATAATATATAAATATTACCTTGAGTGTTACACTGAGAATACTACATGTGAGTTGTCTTTTGAGTAACCTCCTCAGTAAAACTATTGTGTTATAAACTATATTTTGAAGGGCAACATACTACATTGTTACAACAGTAATATTTCCCCAGAAAATCAGCAAATAAATCTGCCACTTGTAAGCCGTTTCTCTCAGCTTGCATTTGAGCCAGTGGTGGGTTGCTCCCAGTTCTGTCCGGTTCTTTAGAACCAGTAGTCCGCCCACCCACTCAGACATCATAAATGATGATCTGCGCATGCGCAGAAGTGCACATGTGAGCTCCCATTGCGAACCGGTAATAAAGGTTAGTAGAACCCACCCCTGATTTGAGCTATAGATTGTTTCCATTTCCTTCCCCCCCCCAATACATATGAATTTTATGAGATTCTCCTAGATTTGAATGATCAATAAAAACTCCTGTTTTAGAGTTATGGTGTTCTGTGATGCAAGGAAGACATGATATCCCTTTATACCAGTGGTGGGTTGCCCCTGGTTTGCACTGGTTCTATAGAACCGGTAGTAAACCGGTGGGAGGCTCCGCCCACTGACCCCAACGTCATCAAATCGCTTCTGCGCATGTGAAGCGAGCGCACACGCACACACACGGCCCCACTACAAATCGGTAGTAAAGGTAAGTAGAACCCACCCCTGCTTTATACCCATTTTTATAACTGGGGGATTTTCTATTGTTTAATCTGATAGAAATATACATTGACATAACAAATGACAGGATTCAAAGTTAGATCTGGCACATTTTTCATAGTGAAAAGAAGTTTCACGTTTGCACAAGATAATTAATTAGATTGTATGACATTTAAGTTTGGCCAGCAGTAAGCATTCTGGCTGCATTAAACAATGGCAACAACAGAAACTTGTGGATGGCAGTAAAGGATTTACACTGATCTAAAACAAGCCAAGTGACAATTCTGTGCCGACTTAATGGAATGAATACAAACGAAGAAATGGTATTGCTATTCTTTGTTATAGAAAATACCATTTTACAGAGCTGTTTTTTACGTATTAAGCTTGAACCCATTGCTAGTTGTTAAATTCCAGATAAAAATGATAAATGATTATTTACTGAGAAAAAGAATTGGCAGGGCAAATGTTCATTGTATAATGACACCATTCTGTAAAATTTTGGCTACAAGTGTAAACTGTGACAGTGCAACTAGATATTTAACTTGCAAATCCCTATGTGCCCTTCACTCAGCTTGTAGAGGGACAGAGGAAGTGACTACTGCAGCTTTAATACAGCAACTTGGCTGTTAAAGCACTTAAATGTCACCTTGTCCCTGAGGTGTGCTTAGATGGGCCATCAGAAAGTAAAGACAGAATCACAATGCTCTTGCTTTTAATAAAAAAGATACCCTTAACGCCCAAACTCTGTAAAATGAAAAAGCACTGAACTGATCGTGAAAACTCTGTTCTGTTTCTATGCTTTGTACCAGCTACTTATCAGATTTGCTGATGATAAAAAATTACATTGGGTGGTTATTAATATGTACTGAGAGACAAAAATCAAAATTATTTTGATAGATTAGAAAAGTGGGCTCAAAAGAAAAATGGAAGTTTATGGAGACAGATACAGAGCTCTTCACTTAGGACAAGAAATGAAATGCACAAGGGTATAATTGGCATATAAAGGCATATGTAAAAAAAAAATCTGTAGTTGATTACAAGCTTGAATATAGGTCAGCAATGTGAATGGATGTGAAAAAAGACAAACACAAATTTAAGATGCAATAATAGACATTTAGTTTTTTAATCATAGCAAGTAATTGTATTCTCCATTGCATCATACGCTATCTTTTGGCATAACACAACAGTGCCACTTTAATCATCTTCAATAGACATTAACACCCTACTATCACAATACAGTGATATTATGGGGAAAACTTTAGTCAGTGTTTTTTACTGAAGCAAATGGTTATTGGGAAGGTGGATTGAACCACGAGATAATTCTACAGTTTGCCATGTTGAGTCAGATTATAGCATGGGAAGAATAATGGGAAAAGCAACAGTCACTCCCAAAAAGTACCTTTCACTTGTCCTCAAAAGTTTATAAGAATTGTAGAATTGTATTTGCTAAAAATTGGAAAGAGAAATGATACCTACGGATGAAGAAATTATTAGGAAAATGTTGGACTGTGCCGAAATGAGTAAACTGACATTTGAAATAAGAGAGCAGGAAGAAAAACAATATTATTTGATATGGGATTTATTTTACCATTGGGTAGATAATAAAAAATGGTGATATGTAAGTAAATGTTGACATACTTTAAATGATGATACAACTGATATATTTTATATAAGAATAAATTTTGGATATGTAGTGATATTGTGAAGAGAGGAGAGGGCACTAGGGATGCAAACCAACCGATGTACTGTCTGTACTTGATTGAATAAATGATGTTTGTATGTTTTCTTTTTCTTTTTTTTTTTGTTTTAAAATAAAAAATGATTTGGGAAAAAAAAAGTTTATAAATTTGTGAGGATATTGCTTGAGCAGAAGAATAAATGTGAAGGAGCAAGAAGGGCCTGCAAAACCACATTCTAAAAGAAGGTTTAGATAATCTACCTCAAACCTGCATTTTTGCAATGTCATCTGAACATGTTTGGAATCTTAACATATTCTTTAAGATGGCAATATCCAACTTTTTTTCTTTGGAATTTTTACTATATGATTGCTACCTTCTATTGTTACTGTTATATTCCTTAAATGATTTTTATATATTTAAGAATTAGTTTTTCCCAGAATTGCACGATATCACATCACCCCCTTATGTTTTCAAATTGTTTACAAAATGCTGGTAAGTTCTTTTTTTGGGACTTCTAAGCATCTTCCTTTCAGTTCTGCCCTGCCCCTTTAAACTTATGCTGAAGAGGGAAGCCTTGTACAATGGCCTGAGAACCATCCAGTTGGTCAGATGCAGCACCACAAGATTCAGCCTGGACAACAGCCTTTGTAAATCCTTGAATAAAGCTATTCATTATTGATACTTAAATTAGCTTCCTAGCAGCTCATAACACCAACAGAATGGGCTTTACTTACTTTACTTTACTTTTATTTGATTTATATACCGCCCTACTCCCGAAGGACTCAGGGCGGTGAGGACTCATTACCTGTTCCTTATTTCAGAATGGTAAAGTTTCAGGAAAGTATTTTAGCTGAATATTAGGGAAAAAAATTCATAATGGTAAAATGGTTTGATAGTGATGCTAATCAATTAGGGAAATTGTAGACATTATTTCTGTGAAAGTATTAAAATAGAAACTGAATAGCTACTCACTAGGACATTTTAATTCAATTTCATGTACAAAGCAGGGATTCTAGTAAGTACCCATATTATGCCCAAAGGGGACTTATATAATATATGGGATTCTAAAGCTGTAAGATGTTTCCAAGTGTTTTTTACTTAGCGAAACATAGCAATGCAACCTCCCACAGCCAACTTTCATTGGCATTCACCAGCCTTTAATGTCTGTCCTTCCCAAGTAATGTAACAACGGCCATTAACTTTCCCAACAGATGAGTATGAAACTGGTTGAAAGACTATGATATGCTGATGAACTTTTTCATTTGTATCAAGTTTTCTTAGCAGTCCTTTTGACCCTTCAATGACATGCTTTCAATTCACTTTTTAATTTTTAACATGACAGAATTGAATCATTCTTACATAGGGATGGGCTGCTGGGGGTTCGGGACAACCTCTAGCTAAGATTCTGTGCAGTTTGGAGAACCCCCAAATCTCACTCCTGGCTGGCCCTGCCCCTCCCAGGAGTCCCCACACGGCCTGTTTTGGATGCAGGTAAGTGCAGGGTGCGTGCAGAGGCTCGGGGAGGGTGAAAAACAGGTCTACCGGAAGTTTGGGAAAAGGCCACTGGAGCCCGGGGAGGGCAAAAACATCCCCCTGTGGTGCAGGAGGCTGACTAGGCCACACCACCATGGCTACGCCCACCCAGCAACCAGGCAGAGAACCCCTTGCTTAAATTTTTGAAGCCCACCCCTGTTCTTACAGTTATGTTCAAATTATGTTTAGAGACAGTGTCCAATTCCATATTTATTAGTCTATTAGTGTATTTCCGTAAGGTTAAAAAGAAAAAAGAAAACACCTACCCAGCCATAACAATGAAGAAATCCAGGCGGTTCCAGGTATCTCCAAGGTAGCATTTCTTGCCAAATATCCCCAGGGCCACCATCTTCAGCACCATTTCCATAGCAAAGAATATAAAAATGAAGTCATCGAACACCTAAAATGTCCATAAGAAAATAGATGCAGATTTAAATTAATTTTAACCATTATTTTGAATAGGCATATGAAATACATAAACAGGATTTTCTACATAGTCTTAATACATTGTTTAGGATAATGTTTGAAGACCCTTTTGCAGGCACTGCCGCCCACAAAGATGTTGCAGATGGCTTACAGAGAAAGGAGCCTATTCTAGTATGCCCACCAATCCTTCCACTGAACACTGTTTCTAGAAATGTCTACCTTAACAAATAACAGACTAGGCTGAGATCTTTGTTTTTTTTTAGCTGTCTGACATAATCTTTACACATTTTTATTTGTTTTCATCTATTGTTAATTGATTGTTTTTTATTTTTATATATGTAATTCAGTCCAACAAAGTTTGCTATTTAGAACGTATTAAACAGTCTACAGGTAGTTCTTGCATAATGTCTACTTTTTCAGTGATTGTTTGAAGTTACAATGAATGAGGGGTCCCAAGCTAGATGAGGAAGAGGATAGGAGACCATATTTCAAGTAGGTTAGAACAGCGGCCTCCAGCCTTTTGGGCACCAGAGACCAGTTCTGTGGAGAAAGGTTTTTCTGCAGACGGGAGGGGAAGTGGTTTCATGTGCTGCATCCTGAAGATGGGGCTTTGTTTGTTTGTGCTGCCCAGTTTCTGGCATGCTGTGGAATTGTGCCAGCCCACGGATCTGGGGCTGGGGTCCCCTAGGTTAGAAGGTTACAGTTTTAGTTTGGCAAGTTTCTGTCCATTAGATATAAGCAAATAAAAGACTGGATGGATTTGGATTTCATTGTATTGCTTTTGGGCTTGAGCCTGACATCAGGCTCAGTGAACAGCTACTTCATAAACAAAAGCATCTCTCATCTCATTCACATTGCTTTACAGGAATGTTGCCCTATTATTCATAGCAAACCACTTCAGCTCAGTAATATTAGAAGGGTTTTTCTAATAGGAACTATTGGCTTTAGGTATTGCCAAATCATTTGTATGCGATTTGATTCTAAAATGCCAATCTTCAACCTGGCCATGCCAAAATGCTGATTTCATTTTTTTTATCCATTGTCTGTATATGAGCTTATATACTTAGAATCTTACAGTGGTGGGTTGCCCCCGGTTCTATAGAACCAGTAGTAAAACCAGTGGGAGACTCTGCCCACCAACCCCAACATCATCAGGAAGCTTCTGTGTATGCGCAGAAGCGCAAGCGTGCATGCAAGCGAAGCAAGAGCTCGTGCGCGGCCCCGTTGCGATCCGGTAGTAAAGGTAAGTAGAACTCACCCCTGGAATCTTGCTATAGTATGCACCCACATGCACTTTAAAAGATGAGCAAAAATGGGACAGCAAAGTATCCCCCAACAAGTAAACTTCTATCTCCTCTTTGTACATGGTATGAAGTTCTTATTGTGGAATGCAATGCTTATTTTTTCCAGGCAAAATGTATTCCATAGAAACTGAAACATTCCACTTTTGACTTTTGCATCCATAGAATATTCCTCCAGACATCTGAAGGTTTATCCAGGTAATTTTTGACAAACTTGAAATGAGCATCAACATTCTTCTTAGTGAGGAATGACTTCTATATTGCTACTCTCACAGTAATTTTCTGATGATGAACTCATGAAAGTAATTACTTTAGCCAAGGCAATAGAGACCTGCAGACCAGTATATGTTGTTCAATAATTCTATGTGACTTTCTGAATGTATTTATGTACTTTATATGTATAGTTTTTATTATTGAAGATTCTGGGGATCAATTAAAATTATGCTGATTTTGATAAGTCATTCGCTCTTGGGAAGATTTACCTTGTTTCAATTCCTTTCAATTTCTATGTCTGACTGTGGGTTGATGGAGTTTTAGAAATGGTTTTATAATCTTTTTTAGAACATTGAGTGTCAACCACTTTTTAATGAAGACTTATTATTATTATTATTATTATTATTATTATTATTATTATTATTATTATTATTATTATTATTATTATTATTATTATTTAAATTTCTATACCGCCCTTCTCCAGAATAGGACTCAGGGCGGTGAACAGCCAGAATAAAAAACAATACATACAAAATTTAAAAACAATTTAAAATAATTAAATATTATTGGCCGTAAATTAAAATAACCCAATTTAAAATCAATTTAAAATTAACTCAAGCCAGCCCCGCTAGTTGAAATAAATGGGTTTTCAGGGCCCAACGAAAAATCCGGAGGTCTGTTATTGTACGTATCTCTGGGGGGAGGTTGTTCCAGAGGGTGGGCGCCGCCACAGAGAAGGCTCTCCCCCTGGGGGTCGTCAGCCGACATTGTCTGGCGGACGGCACCCTGAGGAGGCCCACTCTGTGCGAGCGTACTGGCCGGTGGAAGGCTATTGGTGGCAGAAGGCGGTCTCGTAAGTACCCCGGCCCTAAGCCATGGAGCGCTTTAAAGGTGGTCACCAACACCTTGAAGCGCACCCGGAAGACCACCGGGAGCCAGTGCAGCTCACGCAGGAGAGGTGTTACGTGGGAGCGCCTCGTCGCCCCCATAATCCCCCGCGCGGCCACATTCTGGACCAGCTGGAGCCTCCGGGTGCACCCCAGGGGGAGCCCCATGTAGAGAGCGTTGCAGTAGTCCAGGCGGGAAGTGACGAGTGCCTGAGTGACTGTGCGTAGGGAGTCCCGATCTAGAAAGGGGCGCAACTGGAGTATCAGGCGGACCTGATAAAAAGCTCCCCTGGCCACGGCCATCAAATGATCTTCTAACGACAGCCGTGCATCCAGGAGGACGCCCAAGTTACGAGCCCTCTCCGTGGGGGCGAGTGATTAGCCCCCAATAGCCAGCGATGGTGTCAGCTGGCTATATCGGGACGCCGGAAGCCACAGCCACTCGGTCTTGGAGGGGTTGAGTCGGAGCCTGTTTCTCCCCATCCAGGCCTGCACGGCCTCCAGGCACTGGGACATCACTTCAAGGGCATCGTTGGGGTGGCCTGGGGTGGAGATGTACAGCTGGGTGTCATCAGTGTACTGATGGAACTCCACCCCGAAGCCACGGATGATCTCACCCAGCGGCTTTACATAAATGTTGAACAGAAGGGGCGAGAGGACCGACCCTTGTGGCACCCCACAAGCAAGGTGCCTCGGGGTCGACCGCTGCCCCCCTGTCAACACAGATTGCGACCGGTCAGAGAGGTAGGAGGAGAACCACCGCAGAACGGTGCCCCCCACCCCCAACCCCACCAACCGGTGCAACATGATACCATGGTCGATGGTATCAAAAGCTGCTGAGAGGTCTAACAGGACCAGGATAGAGGAGCAACCCCTATCCCGAGCCCTCCAGAGATCATCCACCAATGCGACCAATGCCGTTTCCGTGCTGTGCCCAGGCCGGAAGCTGGACTGGAGCGGGTCTAGATAGACAGCTTCATCCAGGTACCGGGGAAGCTGTTGCGCCACCACACTCTCAACAACCTTCGCAACAAAGCGAAGGTTGGAGACTGGACGATAGTTAGCCAAAACAGCCGGATCCAGAGAAGGCTTCTTGAGGAGGGGCCTCACAACCGCTTCTTTCAAAGCGGCCGGCAGGACCCCCTCACTCAAAGAAGCGTTAACAATCTTCTGGAGCCAACCTCGTGTCACCTCCCAGGAAGCCAGTACCAACCAGGAGGGGCACGGGTCCAATAAACATGTGGTTGCGTTCAGCCGTCCCAGGACCCTGTCCATGTCCTCGGGAGCCACAGGATCGAACTCCCCCCAGATAACACTCTCAAGACCTGTCTCAGTCATCCCGTCTGGACATAGCCAGTCAGAGGCCAGCCCTTCCCGAATCTGAGCGATTTTGTCATACAGATACTGCACAAAGTCCTCAGCTCAGCCCTGCAAAGGGTCATCCCGCACTTCCAGATGGAGGAGGGAGCGGGTCACCCTAAACAGGGCGGTCGGGCGATTATCTGATGACGCGATAAGAGTGGCAAAATAGCTGGATTTCGCCGCTTTTATCGCCACTAGGTAGGTCTTAATATGAGACCTCACCAGTGTTCGGTCGGATTCGGAGCGGCTGGTCCTCCAACTACTCTCCAGGCGTCTTTTCCGGCGCTTCATCTCCCTAAGCTCCTCGGAGAACCAAGGAGCTAGGTGAGTTCGGTGCCGGGTCAGAGGCCGCAAAGGCACGACACGGTCCAAGGCCCCGGCAGCCGCACTATCCCAGGCGGCCACCAGGTCTTCAGCCGAGTCATGAGCCAGAGTCTCAGGACTTTTAGAAATTTCTTTTGGCTTTGGTTATGAAACAAGTGAACAAGCACCCCACTTTGGTGCTATTTGCTGTCTCAATACTCTATATATCAGCAGGATCCACAAGAAGCTCTAATAAATAACTGACAGATATTCACATTTGGAAAAACTGAAAGGGAATGAATACTTTTTCAAAGTCCCAATAATATAGTCTAATGTTATATGGGGAAACACAGAAGCAGATGTATGAATAGCCAGAATAGCAAGTTTGACATTTTGACAAATTATTTAAAAAGTGCTGGCTTGTTATGGGCCTTATTTCTACATAATTTTGCTGATGACTTTAATTCACATAACATAGTTATTGAATATATGTCAAGATATAACCAGAAGGTCACATATTGCCATTATAGAAAGGCAGCTACTTACTTGCAAAATTTTACATCTGTTGGAGAGGCAATCCATATCATCACAGGGTTGATACATTCCAAGTGTGACACAGTTCAGTAGTATCACCATCATGCTGACACATTCAAACCAGGTGGAAGGAAGAAATAAAGTCAAGGGAAAAAAATCTCATTTACAAACAATGTAATTAACCCAAAGGTATACTAGAGTGGAAATTTTTGTTTTAAAAAAACAGTCAGAGTGTACGATAGTAAGCAATAAAGCCATAGCAACACAATGCACAAACAGTATATAATTGAGATAATACAATTGCTCTTAGATCATACCATTAGACTGCAGGCGAGAAAAATGACCTGATAGCATATACTTCATAGATAGAATGGGGAAAAAATCATGTACAAAATATATTCTTATAGATAAAAGAAATAATTCCATGGAAAAAGATTTTAATTATGGATACTTCAGATACAGGCTCAAGCAGTATCACCTGAGAAAAATTTTATTACTGAATAAGTTGTTTACATGAGTTACTTTGTCTGCCACTCTAAAATGACCAAATCACTGCTTTTGTGAAGATGGTAGTAAGGATGTTGACACAAATAATGCAAAACATGGTCCAGTATAAATGTTCAACAACTACAGATTTATCTATGAGATAAATCCTTAGGAATCTCTTTTAACTCCATGCACATTAGTACATTCACACAAACACAATATTTTTATCATTACATTCTGAGTTTATAACAGGTAACATGGAAAACAAATAACATGTATTTAATTATAACTTATAATTATAAGTTATATATATATATATATATATAATTATAATTATAACTTCTCGTCCTTCTTCATTACAACTATCCTTCTTATCCTTCTTGTTCAAATTTGTTTTAGTTGACTTTATATAAAAATAGCCAGCAATACCTTCAGAGCAACTAATATAAATATATACTTTCTGTATTTATTTGCTTGTCTTATTTTTTCCAAAAATAAGATCACGGTTACCAGTCTTGTAAAACTATCACATCTTACTCTCCTGCTGAATTCTGCACTAATATATCGCTGATTGAGATACATTTTTTTAAAAAAACAGCATCCTTCTAGCAGTGCTTCATTTTTTCTGCAAGGGTTCATCTAACGTAGATAAGGAAAATACTGCTGGGACAAAACAAAGATCTATCTAAGTTCCAAGTTTCTCATTGTGAGCAGTAAGATGGCTATGGAAAATCCATAACCAAAACATAAAGAAAATAACCTTAATAATAATAAACTCTCCATTAACCCCCAAGGATTAAAATTTAGGCACCTATCACTTCTCATCATTTATTGAAGGTGGGTTATAAATATCATGACCAGTAGCTACTAAAATACTTATTTTTTCATTATTGTGCTTCATAACCTTTAAATAATATTTAAAGTGGCCATCAACAAACCCTGTAGCAACGAATATCATTAATTGTTGTCATGCCCAGGTCTCAAAAGTCCTCCTCAATTGAATAAGATGACCAGCTGGGGTCTTCCCAGTGGTGGGTCGCTACCAGTTCGCCCTGGATTGGATGAACCGGTAGTGGCGGCGGCGGGACGCTCTGCCCACCCGCCCGGATGTCTCTACGCATGCACAGAAGCCTCACGCACAAGCATGCACGAGCGCCCACGAGCAAACCAGTAGCAAACGAAATTGAAACCCACTACTCACTAGATGTTTACGATACTAGGGACAGATTAGATTTCTTTCCCTATTAAATCAGGTTCCCTAGGGATTCTGATTGCCCTGAAACCAGATAATTGACTGAACATTCACGTAGTCTTCTGCACAGGTATCGAAAAGTTACAAAACTGAGGGAAAAAATTAGAAGGCTGCCAAAACACCTAGAGGGCAATTAGTTGAACTGGATGTTTTTATGTTGAATTGAATATTTTTAATGTTTTTTTTACTAGCTTTACTGTTTTAAAATGTTTTTAAAATTTCTAATCGTAATATATTTTCTGAATTGTAAGCCTCCCAGAGTCATTGACTGAGATGGGTGGCCATAGAAATTGAACAAACAAACCAATAAAATCAGAAAATTTGGTCTCCATGCCAGTTCCTGGCTGGTATGCTAGACCTGGAGGATGTGTTTTCCTCTACGCGCATCACATAAATCAAACAGGCTACTGGAGGAGCCTATCCTGCTCAATTGCCTAGATCAGGGATAGGGAACAAAGGCCCTTTTAGGACCTGTGGACTTCAATTCCCAGAATTCCTGCACCAGCACATAGCATTAACTGGAAACATCTCTAGATCCCTTCCAGCTCTAAGCCAAAGGATAAAGCTACCAATGCCCATGAAACAATAATAACCGTACATTGCTTGTAATTGAAAATTATGTCTCCCAATATTAGTTGCTGGTAAACAACTAGGATGATTCTACTGAATTCACATTCTGCATGTGAGTTTCTCAAATGGCATAAGGCCAGTGGTGAAATCTAATTATTTTTGCTACCAGTTCTGTGGACATGGCTTGGTGGGTGTGCCTTGGTGGTCATGTGACTGGGTGGGCATGGGCAACTTGACATCACTTACTGTTAGAGCCAGGAGCTGCACACATTCTGAAGCACATTCTGCCCTTCTAAAGCCTCCAACGCTTTGAGTTTCCCTCTGCCATCTGGCTTGATTGCCCAAGTGAACCTCGGAGCCTTCTCTTGCCCTGCTCTACATCCTGGAGGGCTGTGCCCACTGCCAATCCGCCATACAAACTGCCCGCCCTGTTTCTGCAAAGGCAGAGCCCCCCCCCCCTGCAGGGCGATCCAAAGAGGGGAGGGGGATGTTGCAGAAAAGGCTGCCTTCCCATCTGCCTCCCATGCTGGCTCCACAGGGCTTGGGGCTCGGAAGCAGCCCACTGGATTCCCACCACTCTGGGAACTCAGCCCACGGAGTCCAGCGCTCTGTGGGAAGGAGGCTCAGCTGTGGTGCCGCTTCCCAGCAGTGAAGAAGCAGAGTGAGAGGGGTGGAAGCTGGCAGTGGGTGGCGGGGCAGCAGCCCCCCGTGCGGGGAGAGGGCCAGGCCCAGCCATGCCACTGCAGGCCAGCGTGGGTAGCCCTTCATATTGGCGCACCCTTGCCCACTGCCTCTGTGCACTGCATGTGGAAGGGGCCACCACCACCACTCTCGCCACCCTCCCTCCCCTCCTGGCTGCAGACGCCTGCCTGCCTGAAGAACCTGCCGAAGGAACCCCGCTGTCATTCGCTTTCATTTCGCGGTGGGAGAAGGAAGAAAGTGAATGGTGGCAGTGCACCAGGAGGGCAGGCGGGCCGCGGATGTCCCAGGGCTGCTGCACATGCACATGTGCAGCAGCCCTAGGATGTCTGAGGCCCATCTGCCCTCCTGGAGCACTGCCGCGCCACCGCCATTGCCGTTCACAGGCAGGTGGCCAGGTGGGCTACTTCAGAGCCCCAAGCCCTGCAGAGCCAGCATGGGAGGCACGAGTGGAAGGCAGACTTTTCTGCAGCATCCCCCTCCCCTCTTTGGATCGCCCTGCAGGAGTGCACTGCCTTTGCAGAAATGGGATGGGGTGGGGCAAGTGAGCGGTGACTGTGGGACCAGTTCAGGGCTGTGGCCAGCCAGCAGTAGCTACCGGTTCAGCAAACCACACCACATGTCCACTACCGGTTCTCCCAAACTGGTAGCATTTCACCCCTGCATTAGGCTAATTAATGTAAGAATATCATGTTGGCTGACAGGAATCTGCAGGGTATTACTAAAATTGTCAAAATTTTATTGGCAATGATGGTACAATTGAAACTGCCTAAATTTTATGCACAACACACCCTTTGCTTTGTCATCTGTATTTCTTCCTCTTATATAAGGTAAAGATAAAGGTTCCCCTGCACATGCATGTTAGTTGTTTCTGGCTCTAGGGGCGGTGCTCATCTCTGTTTCTAAGCCAAAGTGCCAGAGCTGTCCGAAGACGTCTCTTTTTTTTAAATAATTTTTTAAAAAAATTTTAAAACAAAAAGAATAAATAAAATAGAACACATCTTTTCAAAACGAAGCTTTTGCTCCAGTCACAAATTGAAACAAATCATTAACAAATCTTATTTTCAATTAACACAACTCAATATTTTAAACAGTTATTTCCCTCAAATCTATCTATATAAATATACCATTATCCCCAAAAACCCGTTAAATCCGAAGAAGTCTCTATGGTCCTGTGGTGGCATGACTAAACGCCAAAGGCGTACAGAGTGCTGTTAACTTCCCACCAAAGTGCTTCCTATTTTTCTACTTGCATTTTTTACGTGCTTTCAAACTGCTAGATTGGCAGAAGCTGGGACAAGTAATGGGAGCTCACTCTGTTACGTGGCGCTAGGGATTCAAACTGCTGAACTTCCGACCTTCTGATTGACAAGTTCAGTGTCTTAGCCACTGAGTCACCATATCCTCTTATATATGGTAGTCCTATTCTAACATCTCTCTGGTTCTGTTAAAAGGGAAAGTCATTTCTCTTATGATAAGCTTTTTTTTTTTTTTACCATAGAGTCAATAAGTTGTGGCAACTAGATAGGCCTATTGCAATTTGTAAATCTGGAGGGTAATGTTTTCACAGAGGGTGATGAATTACTCTCTTTCACTCATACAAACTAGAAAATAGAGGTACTAATTGCTTTCCAGGCTTATATTGGAAAAACAGATCACTGGTCCATCTAAACTGTTACTTTACTTCCAGCAGTGGCCAATGTTCAACATAATTTCAGTGACAGGTTTTAAGTGTACACTTAAAGACGAAATGTGTTTTGTTTTGTTTTTTATCTGAGCTGGTGTTCAGTAAAGATCCTAAAAGCATGAGGATTTATAGTCCTTGCAATTGTTTTCTTAACTGCTGCATAATGTCTCTGCACAAACTTAGCAACGGAGACAATTAATTCTTTTGCATATACTTTTTTTACAATTAGCTGCCAATGAGTTAGTTCACTTTACAATCTCTACTCCCAACTATTCAGAGTCCATGCAGTCACCAGGAATCAAATGCAATCCAAGAAATTATTTATCTTTCTTTTTGTATCACATTAGAACTTCCCACATTTGCATAGAAGGCACAAATACCGAAACTATTTACCATCCTGTTTCTTCTGTCATCCTATCATGCCC